TGGGGTGGGGGGGTGGGGATACAACATGCAGAAATCACAAGGCAAACAAAATCAACTACAAGTACGTAAGCCAAGAGTCCATCTTTCCGTCAGTGACTTGCAATACTGGGAAAACCCCATGGCCAAATAAGGTGACATACGAGGAACGCACGGCCCAGGGAGTGGAGAATTCTCAATTCTCCTCTTTCTGGTTCAAGACAAGTGGCTCCAAGGCTGTGTCCCGATTTATCCCTGAGCTGAAGGTTCTCTGATGCCAGGATGAACTGTGGGCACCAAGACGGCCACACTCCCTCCTCCACTGACGCCTGTAACGCCCTCTTCCCCAGCCTCCCTCTGGAGGGCTCTGACACCTGTGCTCCAGTGAGCGCTCTCAGCTCAGAAGATGTATACCTGGAGACTGAAGGGCTGAAGAATACCTGGAAAGCAGCAAGGCCCAGCTACAACCCTAGTCCCGGCCACAGCCACGCCTGTCCCTGACCACGCCCACACGCATACACTGGCCAACCACTCTAGCGCTGGCCACGCCCCTCGTGGGCACTAACCACGCCCTAGCACCACCTCCAGGCCCGGGCCCTTGCCTACGGCTTCACAGGGCACGCAGGGCACTCAGGGCAGAGGGCCGAGGTCTCCCAGGAAGCCAAGGCCCCCATGATCAGCCTCTGACTGCTGTGGCTTTCACTGCACCTGTCCCCGGGGTCACTTTGCTCACCCAATCCTGTCCCCTGGGTGCTCTTCGCGCGGGGTGCCTCTCGCTCTCACCCCAGACTGCTCTCCACAGAGACCAACTCCTGTCCCCAAAGCCTCCCAGCCTCTTCAGCTGACACTTTACTGAGGCCAGTGCTGCCTTTTCCGAAGTTTCCATCCTCCCATGACCAGCACTCCACGCATTTCCTCCTTAGTATGTAGCGGTCTAGTACTTTTTACACATCACAGTTATTTCTATCTCTAACCGCCTCCTTGAAAGTAGAGGTTTTTATCCAACTTAGTCACTGCTATGTACCCAGCACCCACAATACTCCTGGCTCAGATGTTGTGCCCAAGAAACCTTGTGAATGAACGAGTACAGGGATGGATGAGTGAATTTGGGGACCACCAGCTACAACTCATGGTAAGGGCAGGCGGAGAGTGTCATTTTCCCCTTCCTGGGACGGGGAGGAGCCAGGCGGCATGGTGACAGATCCCAGGCTCTGTCCCTGAAGGAACAGTGACCGCGGCCCTTCTGAGGCTGTGCTGGGCGCTCAGAGTCCACCCATGTCACAGGCCCACGCTTCCCAGCATGCAGCAGAGGGCAGTGCCTGCGCTCTTTACAGCCTCCGAGCCACCTGGCTCTGCAGAAGAGGCTGTGCCTCCTACCTGTGGGCAGGCAACCCTCAATCACGGCTCCAGGGGCTGATGTGAGTGGCCAATGAGATAAGCCTGCACCCGGCATAACCTGGCCCACTGTGCACAAGCACTTGCTACTCAGGAAGCTGAGGCAGGAGGATCACAAATTCAAGGCAGGTCTGGGCAACCTAGACCATGTCTCAGAAGAAAAACTAAAAAGGGGCTCATGGTCAAGAGCACCTCTGGGTTTGATCCCAGTACCACAAAGAAAGAAGAAAGGAAGGCGAGGAGGAAGGGGGCAATGGGAGGGAGGGAAGACAACAGGGGCTCTAGAGCTCCCCCTAGAGGAGAACTGCAGGCCTCCTTCGGGAGGGAGAAGGGCCAGGCGAGCCCATGCTTCCCTTCACTATCTCCTAAGGGCAGAAAAGAGGAAGCAAAAAGTCATCATTAGGATGTGCAGAGTCCCTCCTTCACCACCCTCTTTCCTTTACCAGGCCTGGCTTTGAGGTCCTAGGGCAGTGATGGTGAACCTGGTAACAAACAGCCAGCCATGGCATGTGCTGTAGCTTTGCCAACACGGACCTAGGCCTTGGCATCCCCAGAGGTTTACCCAGAGCCCCTTGGCCGGAGGCTGCACTTCTGAGCAGCCACTCCCAGAAAGGTGGGCTCAGCACCAGCACCAGCTCTTGGGAAATGGCATCTTCTGAGCACCAGAGGTGCAGGTCTAGGGATCTCCAGGAGACCAGGCTCATTAGCAGCTCTTCCAGCCCCAGTGGGATGACGCTGTCTGGTCCCCAGGCCTGCTGCAGGGCCACCTCCTGCCTGAGAGAGCCCTAAGGCTTCTATCTGGACACCACACTGCCCTCATGGACAGCAGCCTCAAGGGGACTCTCAGAGGGTGGTAACTAGGCCTACACGGCACTGTTTATAAAGTTGGCATCCGTGTGAGACTGCACTTGGATGACTGAGAAGTCCTTGAAAGATTATTTTGATTTTAATTTTCTCCACTTACTTAAAAAGCCAGCAAGCAGTCTGCTGTTACCAGCACTAAGACATTAGTATCCCACAATGGCACTGAAAGAAGCATTAATTAAATGACGTCCCAGAGGCCTGAATTCAGGAGTCTGTTTATTCTTGTTGTTTATGTACTTATTAAAGAAAGCAGTAATCACTGAGATGTGGCAAAAATAAGCTACAGTGTGTGTGTGTGTGTGTGTGTGTGTGTGTGTGTGTGTGTGTGTGTGTTTGGTTTGGGTTTTCTTGTAGGACTGAAACCAGGAATCTTGCCCTAAGCTAAAACTCCAGACTTTTTAAAAAAAAATTTTTTTAACTTTGAAACACAGTCCAAGTTGCCCAGGCTGAGCTGGAACTTGGAATCTTCCTGCCTCAGCCTCCCACAATGCTGTGACTACAGCACCACCTGGCTCAGCTTGTCTTAATTCATTAGTTAATAATCAGCTTAGAAAAAGTCAAAGGCAGGGTTTTGCTGCAAAGAAGCTCAAGCAGACAGGCTGCCAGAACTGCACAGGACCATGGGCTGCTCAGTGTGACCTCAACACTCCTACAAGATGCTTCCCGCCTCCTACGGGGTCACCTCCTGTCATTGATAACTGGCCATGCCCAGGACACTCTGGAGTACCACGAGGGTAGATGGAACGTGGTCCCCACTTCCAGCCACCTCAGAGCACCCAGCTCTCCCTCCATAGGACAGCGGACAGTGCTTTTCTTGGAGTGATGCTAAAATCAGGTCAGCACGTCTGACGGCAGCACAACGCACCTGTGATGTTGTCGTAGCTCCGGAAATTCATCTCGATATGGTCCCACTCCAGCACCATGCAGTTCTCCATGCTGGGCTGTGCGATGGCCACGTACACATCATTCTTGGAGTTGAACGTGTCCACGGATACCGACTGGTAGGGCAGGGTCTGGTGAACCACGAAATCTGGGGCAGGGGGGGGTGAGAACAGAAGACAGGCATGAAATGCCTTGTGTGGTCCCATCCCCTGCTATCCTTTTCACGATGGATACGAGCGAGGAGGAGGGCGGGCTCTGAGCAAACATGCGTCCTGGCCCATTGCACCCTAGTGGTCCCTGGAGGTTCTGGCCTGTACAAGGCTGCCTGGCTGAAAGCACAGCTTCTGATACAGCTTCCTGTGTGTAAGCAACTCCGCATGTTTGGCAAAAAGATCAACGTTTTAAACAAATTTGGTGACACCTGGTTTTCCAAAAGCCAAGAAGGGAGAAGGACACAGAGACGTTCTCAAAGCTGTCAAGCTAGTCACTCTGTGAGGCAGGGCCGTGTGGTCCAGTGAATTTGGGGAACTGCTCTTCCAGCGCTCTCTGAACAGCCCCTACAGGAATGCAGACTCCTTAGTTTTGTTTGATGTGACAGAGCTTCTCAGACTTACCTGATGCCAGCTCCTTACCAGCTGTGATTGCACCCCTGCTCCAACCACACGGGATGGGAAACAGCACCCCCACAGGTTCAGAATGAGCACTGTACTCCCCAAAGGGCACACTGACCTTTAGAAACCAAATCCAACTCAGGGGCCAAGAGAAGCCTGAGGGGCCAGCGAACCCCTGAGCTTACCGCAGGCCACTAGACTTGGTGTGGTGGTAAGAAGGTGCCATGCTCCAGGTACAACAGGGTGTGCAGTTCAGTGAACAAGTAAGGAGGTCTACTGGGTCTCTAAGCACCATGGCCCATGGTTTCCTCTTCCACATGCTAGGAAGTCCACCCTTCTGACTCTGCTGAGCTGCAGCCAACTAGCTGGGCTGGGTCTTGGTAGGGACATACAACTGACTGCCAAGGGCAGAACAAGCATGACCCCAGAAGAAAGGAGAGCTGCTGTGGGGGTAACTAGGGAAATGTAGAGAAGGAGGAGCCTTTTACAAAAGCCATGCTAATAAAGGTTAAGAAACAAAGGCTATTTCGGGGGCCATAGATGCTTCAATGTGCATTGCTCCTTGGTAACACAACGCTAAACATGGGTCACGGTGGACACCTGGCTAAGTCCTTCCTAAGAGGAATCCTTACTCTGCCCAGCCCTTTCTCAGCCAGGCCTGGTCTGTCCCCACCCGAGTCCCATGTCCTCTGCAAGGCCTGCTGTGACCAGCCCCATCCATGAAACTCTCTAGGCTTATTACTACACACTGTGGTCAAACCGTATTACTGTCCTTAAACAATAACGTCAGAGTCCAGTTTGGAGGTAGAGGGGGGAATCTTAGAGCTGTGAGCTCAGAGAGGCTGAGCGCCTGGCCATGGCCACACAGCTTCTCCTGGCCGGCAGGTCAGGATCCTAGACTTCCTCCAGCCTACCACAGCTGCTGTGCAGCCCTTCAAGAAGTAACTGCTGCCTGGGAAGCCCGGTCAAAGACGCCATCCGCAGGGTTTCTGAGTAGTGAGTAACGCGGCAGAGCACAGTGGGAATGCAGGCAGAAAAGGAGGTGACAGCAGCAGGGCAGGGGTGCAGTAGGAAGAGTGGGGCAGGGGAGCGAAGGAGGTTAAGGTTGAGGGAGTGAAGGCTGCTAGGAGCTGGAGAAAGAGCACCAGGCAGATGGCTGAGAGCCCGTCCCACCTGAGACCCCAGGCTGGGCACGTCTCTGCTCCTCCGGTCTCACTTTACAAATTCAGAATAGAGAGGAGGAGGAGATTGAGCTCCCGAGCTGGAAGGAGCTGGATGGCGGACCGGTCAGGTCCCCGCGGTGGTTTGGGCATATAAATAATATAGAATTGAGGTCCAAAAGGGGCACCCCTATTCTGCCCTAGCGCATCTCCTGGAGCAGCGTCCACTTCAATGGCACCTAAGGCAAGACGCTGGAGTCAAGCAGACCTTTCTTGCTGAATGCCCTTGGGCAAGGGACTTCACCTCTCTGCACGGTGGCTTACTCTGGGTACAGACACCAGCGCTTAGCCTAGCGCAAAGTGGAGCTCCACCCACCTTAACTTGAAGAGGTGCCCCTGGCCCCGTTCTGGCTGCACAGTGGGCGCTGAATCACGGACGCTTTCCGGCTTATCGCGTGGAGTGGTCTGCCTCGCCCATGGCTCACTCTGCAGACTGCCAGGGGAGGGCCGTGGGTCCCGGCAGTCAGCACCGCGGACCGCATGGGCATGAGCAGGAGCAGATGGGGGCGCGGGAGGTGACGGGCCATGCGCACCCCTCTCCTGGCGACAGAGGGCTGAGAACGCAGCCGCACTATTTTAATTACAGCCGGGATGGCTATAAAGTCTTCCTCTCTGTCTCTGGTTACACTCCTCTCATCCAAGTCTGCCCAAGGTTCTAACACCCCCTCGCTGGCCATAACTCACGGGTCTCCTCGTTCCCATCCGTCTCCCAACTGCACTCCGAGTTCCCAGAAACGCGAGCGTTTGCTTTAACATGCAGGCTGTTTGAAGTGCAGACCAGAGGTTTCCGTTCTCACTGAGGAACAACCCCAAGATGAAAAAGAAGTTCCAGGATAGACAGTACTTTCCTCTACCTTTTAGAGGCCCTATTTTATTGTTCCAAAACAATGGCTTCATGATATTTTCTATATACTGACATAACACACGTTAAGTCACTTGAATGACAAATCAAATTCCTGATAGTTCCCAGCCTCACCACAGAAGGAAGAGAAGGAGGAAGAAGAGGAAGAAAAGGAAAACAAGAAAAAGGCCAGAAGACGCTGACTGGATACATAGGTGTCTGTGCCTGAACAAGAAAGGGGCCAGAGGGATTTAAACATCTTTTCTCTCCCCTATCTTAATCTGCCAGTCTTAAACTGCAGGCATACGTACATTCATTGCGGAAAGAGCCCAAAGAATACACATACCGACATGACATCAATTTGCTAGTGTTAGAATATTAATGGCATTCCCTGCCAAAAGAGCCGCCACTTCGGGGCACGCTGAATCCAGTTCATGATGTCAGTGGGTCTCTCACAATTTAGGCCTTTTTCCCACTAGAATCAACAGATTTCTACATAGCTATTTATAGCACTGGCAGAAAATAAATTATACATGATGCCGATCCTATGGGGAGAGTGCACATTAATGCATTATTTCTCTTCGCATTTTCATCAGCCTCGAAATAGGGAAGCTAACAGGACAATTAGGATGCAAAATTCACCCCCTCTAAGGAATTTAATGAATTATCCACCTAACACAGGGCATCATCGGTAGGTAACAGGGATTTCTGAGTGGTTAAAAATAGACTGGGGAGTGTGAAGAAACTGTGATTAATCTAAAGAGCAGAAGCAGTCGGGCGGTGGCTGTGTGGCATTAAACATTCCCTTTGCCAAGGAAAAGGGTGGTAACTCTTTGGGCAAAACAAGAAGTGAGCTACCTGAAGAAATGTAGTGCTTTCCTGAAAAGCTGAGCAAAGAGGAAATCAGTATCCCAGGAGAATGTGCTCCTTCTCGAACCAAAAGGAATGATTAAAAGGACCCTGTCACTTGGATGTGGCTTTCCATCTTCCCTTCATCCTCACTCCTCTCCTCCCCAACCTCTGATAATGAATGCAGCAGAGACCAGGGCTTGATCTGAGCAGAAGACAGGAGCCCAAAGCACTCACGGTGCATGGACTTGTTCTCACATGGCAGAGACAGCGTCCGAGGGCTGCCCAAGCTTTGTTGCACCATGTTTCTCTGATGGGAGGAACTGTGAACAAGAGCTAATGTGTTCAGGAGTAGCAAAGCAATCACAAAGACAGCATTGCCACCAGCTAGCCTTCTAGGACTCGAGGAGGAAACTTGTTAGCAAAGACAATACAGGAGCGACCAACCATGTGCTGGACTCACACTGCCCCAGGGACTCTGGGTTACATACAGAAGGTGGCTACCCCAGTCCCAAACCATCTCCTTTCTGATAACAGTTCTCAGTCCCTAGAGGCCTGGCAATGTTTGCATGTACTGAGGCCGGGTCTGAACAGGACAATGGAACTTGCTAGCCTCACCAGAAAGACTAGAGAAAAGGCCAGAGAGGCGCCCACGAGCTCCGGTTTAGCATTTAACACCACATGGTCTCAAATGCCACTTTTTGGTGCAAATGCCACTGATTATGACCTCTGATTTATTGTGCTGTCCCCTACAGTACAATAAATAACCTCTTAGTGGCCTCAGCTGGCTGAAGGGGACCTGCCAATTACACAGCCGAATAAGCCCCTATTCGAAGATGAAAGACAAGGGCACTTCCATGAGATTGCAAGTTTTCTATAAAAGAACAGAATGTGTGGGGTCCTTTACTGGGAAACAAAGACATTTAGAAATCACTGTTAGTTTGTGGGATTTTGTTTATTTGTTTGGAAGGTGGTAGCAGGATCTGGCCTAAATATAACATTTTGTTCTTTGAATTTTTATGTCTTTTGAGTTACTGTAACTCTTTTCTGATTTCCCATTCAGGCTGCTTCTCCTGACATGCCTTGAGGCTGTGTGGATATCAACACTCAGCCTAAATGTTTATTTCCATGAACAGCTAGAAAGCAGGTTTCATGCTGCGGATTGATCCTCTCTCCTTTAAAACCTGGCTTCAGAAGCCAGAGAAACTTCACCTGAGCCTTTCTTATGGAGATACTCACCTGCCCTCTATATGCAGTGACAGCTGAGGCCTCTGGTATTTTAATTCTATTCTATAACCTGAAAAATGTACAAACTGAAACCCTGAGGCAGACAATAGAAGAGCCAAATCAAACTTCCTTGCATTTTCTCATCAACATCAGCTTTTTTCTTTTGATAACTGATTGCCAACTTATACTTTTCTATTTTGCCATTGGTTATAATTTACCCGTTCTCTCTTCTTTCTTAGATCTATGAAAGCAATGTATAAGTTTTTAAAGTCTGGCATAAAATTTCCAAATTAGCATTACCTTATTAAATCCAGAAAACAGTAACAACAAATTAATTCAGGCCTCTCTGTACTGGCTTTCCATGTAACCTAGATTGATTTGAAGATGTTCTCATGTTAAACTCACAAGCCTATATTTTGACCTTAAAAAAAGAAACCCTTAGAGAAATTTGAATTTTGTAAAGAATCAAAAACAAAGTGAGTGAATTCAAAAATCCTTCTAAACTGTTGAGACAATTTACTAACTACATAAATTCATTTCTTTTAGAATGCTTAAACTTTCTCTAAAATAATCTCAGAGTAGAAAGCTACATTCACTTTTCCCCACACCTTTCTGACAATCTCCAAGAAAAACAAAGATTCTCCCGTCAGTCTCTGACAACAGGGCTTTTGAATACCTGTGGTTGTACATTCATAGTCAAAGCTGGTTACGTCATTAAGCTTCTTCTCCTGATATTCCGGAGGGCTGATGCACAGCACATCGGAAACAGTGGAATTTGTCATCTTCAACCACAGATACAACCACTTGGCTTTGCAGTCACATTCAAATTTATTACCCCTTAAATCTCTAAAACAAAACACAAATATGAGCACAGAGAAATGGACATACCTGACATGTTTTGGTAGTGACTTGAAACACCAAAATTCACATCTTGAAATAATTAAAACTCTCTAAAAGTGAAATTTTAAAAAATGTATTTTTATGCATCCTCCTTCTTATACTTATTATTGTCGGTATTTAATGCACCTGTGCTTTAACTGCTGTAGCATACAGGGAGCTCTCAGAGACAATATACCATCATCTCTCCAAGCCCTCTTGAAGTTGTCCCCATGCCACGGTGGAAATGGGGGAGGAATGAGAGATGAACACTTCCAAACACAGGATCTTGTAAACAGAAACAGGACATTATAGGCACAGTTTTCCCATACATAGATGAAACTTTTAAGATCTGACTAAACTATGTCCAGTGAGAAGTGAGGTACACTAGAATATAAAGCAGACACTATTTCAGAGCATGGTACCCCCCCCCAGCAATCCTGATGAACCACTGGCCTCATGGTACTAAGTATATCATCAAATGGCAAATCCAACACAATACCCACTGCACGCCATTTCCCAGTATGCATTACTTTGTTATTGATTTTTAGCTACCTCATAAAAGAAATGCAGGAAAGAAGCAGAAGGAATTGACAGATATGACTAACTGGGACCCAGTGACAAGTACACACAGACTTAATTTCATTACTTACAGTTCAATCAGAGAGTCTAAATCACTGAAGACATCCCTGGGTAGTGCTTTAATGTGGTTATTGGCCAAAGACCTGGAAACAGAAAGTCACATTTTAATGTGGCTCTTATTTTCATGCCGGGTCACTCTGAAGTCCCTTTACAGACAGCTAATGGCTTAAACCATACTTTCAACCTCCTCATCAAATCGCGATTCAATTCCTGGATCTGATCATCGATACTGAAAGGAAGATATGAGATCAGTTATACAAAAATGACATTATGGAAGTGGGATGACAATGTCAGCTTTTTCTTGGCCTTTGTTTTTCCAAACAAGCACTGATTAAGCTCTTTATGCACATCTGTGAACCCTCAGTTGGCTTCCATTGTTTCTTGGAATAAGAGCCAAATCCCTTTGATGGCGTGCAAGATGCTGTACTGTCTAGATGCCTCCATTCCTGCTCTCCTATGAGATCACCTCTTCCGCCACTCAGATCCAGCCACCCTGGCCTCCCTGCTGGTCCTCAGTGGCCTCCAGGCCTGTGTAATGTTCCGCCCACCTGGAACACTTCCCTAGATAGCCACACAGCTCACTCCATCACTTCTTTTAGGTTTGTCCTCACCCATCACCCGCTTCCTGACCTCTGCCCATCTCTCTTCCCTGCTCTGTTGAGCCCCGTTGTTAGATGTCTGTTGGCCCAGCACATATTCTGGTAATCCATATATTAGCTGTGTGTCCTCCCCATGCATAAGCAACATGAGGACGGGGATTCTTGTCTGTTTGTCCGTGGCTATATTCCCAGTCCTTAGAACAGTGCTTTGTTCCCAGAACTCCTGTTGAACTAATGAATTAAGTACCAAAGTGTGAATGATGAAGGTCTTGTTCCAAGAAACTCCCCAGTGAACCATCTAAGTGAGTTCTACCACATATGGCTCTATAAAGGATTCAGTGAATACACTTTTACATAATGACTCTCAGCTTCAACCCTTAAGGAGAATATAATAACATCTCGACGAACCCAAATATTTAGGCAATGATCAGTTTCATTTTCTCATTAACAAAGGTTGATGAGAAACCATTCCACGTGTGTGGTATAGTGTTGAAGATCTTCCGGAGATGCTGTGGTCCACTCTGCACATCCAGGAAGTAGACTTGTGTGAACAGATCAGTTCCTGATGATTCAGGATTCTCAGCTCCCTGCCATCATCCTGCTGAGGATGAATGTCCACAGTGCAGGGCTGCTGAAGGAAGATGCTAGGTGTAGAACCGGCAGTGTACATCAAGTCTGTGATTTCCCTAGGCACCACGCACTGTTAATGTGAGTCAGCCCAGAAAGTGTTGCCTACGTCTGTTTTCTTTTATTCATATGAGTGCAAATGGCACAACAGAGAAATGATAAACATGTAGGCAATTCAGCGCCAACCTTTTAAAAATACAACCCAGAAAAATGGTCACAGAAATGTACGCTTCTCCTTAGAGTCAGTCAGCTGGGCAGAGCAGGAAGCTTGAGCTCACTTTTTAATCCAAACATTCTCGCTTCAAGATACCAAATGAACATGGAGCGACTTGTAGTTTCTGAATTATGCCCCTTCCCATCTAGGTAACCACAAATGGATTAAAACATTATTTCAAGCATTATTTTATCCTGCTTTTTAAAATGATTTACTTGTACATTTTTAATGTGTTGGAAAATATAATAAGATTGAGCATAGTCTTTTCGAGATTTATTAAAAGGTGCGTTTGTTTTGATTTTTTCAGGCTGATGGTAGCTTTTTCTGGAAAGCAATGTAAAAAAATATTTTAGCTAATTAAAGGTTAACTATTTAGCTAGAAATTTTATCTAACTAGAAGTTATTATAGTGAAGTGATGAGAATATATGGAATGGCTAAAGCCAAAGGAAGAAAGTAGAATGTTTAGTGATTATTTTGAGTATGCAATTCAGAATTTAGAAAACAGAATTATAGAGATGGATTACCCATCCCACTCACACTAAGTGCTTAACATCTCCCTTTCATTTTGTCTACAAAATCATGGCACTTACTTCACTTCTGAAACTATTTAACAGCTCCCTGTCCCTTGGGTTTTACAGGACTGCTGGAAAACAACGTCCTAGATTTTAGTTACAGATTGACAGGGCTCCCTCCTTCAATGTTTTCTACCTTTCTATGAGTGTGAGTCTGTAGATGTTGGAAAGTTCATAAAAAAGATAAAGATCAGATACTTAAATTAAACAAGGAAATTCCAGGTAGGGACCTCTGTTAAGCACAGGAGTGAATTTTCAAGCTGATGTCTCCTCTTTATTAAAGGTTTAACAAAAAAGAATGGAAGGAGATCAGTTCATTCTTTGAACAACATGAAATTGCTTTAGCTATTAAATACATCTCCAGCCTAGAGGAAACCAACTTTAAAAGTCATCAGATTTGTGGAGGACCTGAAGAAGTCCAATTCAGTAAGAAACTTGTTAGTGCACCAGCGAATCGGAAAGTGTGCCGGCTGGCTTAGCACGCTCCTGGGGAAAGGAGAGCAGAGCTAATGGAACCTCTGCAAGGACCCTGTCTTTGGGGAGCTGTCCACGCTGCTGGGGGGAGAAAGCAACAGCCACTACTGTCGCAGCCAACAGAAGGGAGGACAAAAGAGATCGGGAATGGCTTCATGGAGCAGATAGACCTGATCAGATGAAGGAAAGGCAGATTCCAGAAAACCAGGGGCAGAAGAAACAGTTCTTGGGCAAGCAAAGGATGTGATACTGGTCTTCAGAGTAACACTTGCTGCACGGAGATGCATTCTGGACCCCAGCGGAAGATTCCCTTTGTTCACTCCATATTTGTGCCGTCTGGGTGTCACACAGAGAAGGGAGGGCCTCTTGTCTGTATGCGCACATGATAACCCATGAAATAACAAGTGCACAAGCATGCACACATAAACACAGTCACGCACACATGCATATAGTCCATGTGCTCATGGACAAGCACGCACAAAGATATGCAAATATCCACGCCCAATACCCACACACTCACAGCCCGCCCCCGACAGAGCAACGATAGCTAGCTAGGCAAATGACCCAGTTTGGCACATGAGCTTTGCCTGAAGTTCCTAATCTGCCCAGGGACTGCTAAACTTCTCCAGCCTCAGCTGTTCCTCTCCGGACACCCACAGTTGTCCTCTTGGAAGACTCTGTCTGGCCAATCAAACTGCCAAGGCCACTCAGCAGTCCATGGAGAAAAATCGAGATTTTTTTAATGAGACACAGAAGGAACGATATTTTTGATAACCATGATCACAATAATGCCAACCTTACCTTGAGCATTTACCATGGGGAGTGGGTTAGATGCTTTGCAAGTATGCATCGTGAACCCACTATGTACAGCAACCCTAAGAAATCAGTCATAATTTTCCTTCATGTTAAGCACAAGGAAACTGGGGCCAAGCAAAGTAATACTAATAAATGATGGTCTTGAGATTTGAATGAACGCAGGCTTGTAGGACTCCAACGCCCATAATTTTAGTCCCTGAGGAACACAGGGGACTTGGCACATAAGCCGAATCTGTAAAAGAGTCAAGGCTTTCATTGGAAGAAAGGAAACCCGGGAGCCACAATGCCAACAACGGTCAGACAGCTTCCGGTCTGGACTGGGCTGATGTGGATGTCTGACTGCCCGTGTTCATCCCCTCATCTCCTCACTGTGCGGGCTCCAGCTCAGGCTGCACTTGGCAGCTGTGGGGGACTGGCTGGGCCCACCCACATGCCTTTGCAGGTATCAGGCTAGGTGACTGTGTCCGCACTGTAGGAGTCAAGGTTACACCCAAGGCACCACCGTCCCTGCCCAACACCCACATGCAAACCTCCTGCATGCTCCCAATTTTCATTTACTGTAGGCAGGCAGGCTACGGAGATGAGACATGTCATCTTACTCAGAAACACAAAATTTATCTCGCAAATGGAACCTGGTTCCTGACTAATGAATCGTTCCCACCCAGATGATGACTATGTTTACATTTTTTTATAAAAACACTATTTTTTCCAATTTTATATATTCACTAAATGTGTGTACTTGCTTCATTCTGATACACCAATTCCAATCAATTTGTTTAATATTTTTGTCTCCAGAAAGCTATTAAGGAACCCAGAGAGCTTAGCAGAAGGCACAGATTAATCCAAACTAACAGAAAAAGTGATTCACATTCGCACGAGAAGAACCATGAAAACGTCTCTATTCTACCTCGGGCTAGTTCGGACCCTACATTTGACATTCCTGTATGGGCCATTTAAGCCTCAGTTCCCACATCTGTAAAACAGGGACTCATGGATGATCACAGAAGATACAGAAAAAGATTGGCTCAAGCACCCAGCCTTGAGCCTGGCACCGAGTAGGAACAAAGTGTGTGCTCATTGCTGCCCCATCTCTGCCACCAGCCACGAGGCGCCCTTGCAGCCCATAGGGCTCCTTACATCACATGCATCTGGGGTCCCAGCACCAGACCCAGCGGATGGAGAATATAATAATGCCCAGTGTGTGCTCTTCACATGAGCTGGGTCTGCCTGGCATCACAGAAACCCCTTGGGCAACCAGGAGAGGCGATGCCTTCCGGGAACACAACGGTACAGAAATCTCAAGGTGGGAGACACACTAGGCGGCAAATCTTCCGCCACACCTCAAGGGTCTTGTGACGGTGTTTAAGGACTTACAGGTGAGTCAGGTCACGGAGGCCACGGAAGGCATTTCTTGAAATGGTTTCTATTTTGTTCCCTTCGATGAATCTAAGGAAAAGAGTAGTATAAGTCAAGTGAGTTTCCACTACTTAATATTGCTAAGAAATGATACAGGTATGCTTTTTGAGCAAAATCTTGGAGCATTCAGGAACTATACAGTCTCTGAAAATGAAGTTGGCCACAACAAATTCCACACGGGTGCAGTGTGTGTGCACATGGGCATGTCCCCATGCTCCTTACAGATGCAGCACGAAGTCTTCAAATTTAGGGTGGCAGCTTGGGTAAAGCACTTTGGGGCCACAGTGGGAGGCCTGTGCTGTACAAAGGCCAGATGTTCTCACAGCTCTGCAAGACTGGAAAGCATGCAGACATTCTCCCTACTCAGCTCCACTTACATTTCCCAGCACCTGGCTGTTCATACTTTTGTTAATGTCATGGTCCCTGGAGGGAAGGCCATTGCTGCACATTTCTGAGGGAGAATCCCATTAAGCTTGGCCTCCACCAACCTTGAGCTCATCATGTCCCACACAATCTAATCTCGGGGCACATGGGGGACGAGGCAGGGCTTCTCTCACTACCTCTGTACCACTGGGAAGTGGGACGCATAATGAAGTGGACAAGGGCTGACTCTCTCTGGGCTGAAATGGCACAGGATTTGCACACAGAATCTTGCAACAATAACACTGGCATGATTTAAAGTCTTTGTGGGAAAGGTATGAAAAGAATGTGCTATGGCTACCCCAGGGCCACAGAGAGCTCAGTTTTCATTGGCAGTGTAGAATTGCATTGGATGCAAGGGGGGCTTGGGTGAGACTGTCCAAGGGAGGGGCTTTGGCACCTCTGCCACACCATGAATGACTCATCTGGTTCTTGGTTCCTGCACTGAGAGCTTTCTGATGCCTGTTTCTACAAGATCTGGTATCTCTTTAGTGCTAGACTTCAGCATGAATTAACTTCCTCCCCACTAAACTAAGCAGGAAGGCGAACTTCGAATCAGAGGAAACTCCGAGCCTTATCTCTGCTAACTCCATCACTCTTCATGTGTTTTGAGAAAGCCTGGCAGGGTTTTGCCCCTTTCCCTGTCTTACGCCTACCGTCAGAGCACTGGATGCTGAGAATACGCACATGATGTCTTCTCTGGAGGAAAGTCCTACAGCATGGCTCCCCACAATCCCAAATCAGCAGACAGCTTTCCTAAACCAGAACGTGTCTAGAATTCCAACATCCACCTGTTGGCCTCAGATAAGAAAGCAGAGGCAGGACTGTAAAGCTCTTGCTGGCTGCTAAGTAAGGAAATCCCATCTGATAGAAGATTCTTACAAATTCACAAATACAAGGATGCAAGAACTTAAGGGGGAAAAGGACATGAAAATGAAAAAAGGCAGAACTCAGAAGGAGAACAAAGTTCATCCTCAGGAAAGAAGCTGTATATCTGAAGAAGGAGAAATCTTTTTCTTTGTTTCTTTTTAGTGGGAGTTAAGGAGAAAGGAAAACACAATTAAACCCTCAGCAGGACTTACAGGAGAGGGATGTGGGACAGCTGGTGAAAGCAGGCTAAAGCATTCCCTAAAGAGGGAAACTTTGTTTAAAAATAAGTAGCCCTTAGAACCCTTCGGCTCTATTTCTGGCTGATCAGCAAACCCATGCCTAGTTATGAGAGGTAAAAATATCCAGCGCAGTTTCCAATTGTGCTTACTACATGACAAATTAAATGTCAACAGAGAATGAATGAGTATTTTTCCTTGTTTCCTTTCTCCCTTTGTCTCCAGCCTCCTCCTGCTCCCGCATGTTTCTAAGCTAGTGAACGATCAAAGGTCAGGGCTGGGGGTCTGGTTTCCTCCATGCTAAGTGCTCCAGAGATGCTGCCCCAGGCAGGATGGCATCCAGCAAGTCCACCAAGATGCCGAGTCCTGAGTCCACAAACCTTGACACTTACAGGTATTCAAGGTGGAAAAGTCCAGCGAATGCATCATCCCGGATCACCGTGAATGAGTTAGAATTCAGCAATCTGAAAATAAGACAGAGTGCAATGTACAGGCCTAGAGCTTGAGCTACATGGAGCCATTTCTGATTCTTTTGCAAAGTCTGATCTGTCAGCAAACGGGTCCAGCTTGAGAACCACCCTTTACGCCCCAGCCTGACTCTCACAGGTTGAAGACTGAGACAGTGATGAGTGGGTTCCTTTTATGGGATTTTTTTCTCTGGTCACCTCCAACACCCTATCCCTTCTTCCCCTGGGGTCTCAGTCAGTATGAACTGATAACTGTTATTTGAAAACATTCTGTTGCTAGGCACAACTAAACAGCCAAGGCAGGCTTTCTGATGCATATGCAATCATGGGACTAGAAACCCATAAGTATCTAATCCAACTCCATTTTTGGAGAAATTGAGCCCAGAGAAGTTAAGTGATTTGAACAAAGTCATACATTTGGAATAACAGCAAAAAGTTATTTCCTACCACTTATGCATGAGAAATAATTTTTAAAAGTAAAATCTTCAGAAGATTCTATCACTAGCAATTTCCTATTTGAGTCACTACTTAAGTCCTTTTGGTAAAAGTCTTATGTTATCTATATAGTAACCACTTTATTTGAGAAAAGACTATCTAAAATTGTTTCTATTCCTACCATTATATAGAAAATGTATTGTAACACCATTGCAATTCTAAGAGATTTCAGATTTTTTAAATGTTAAGTATAATTTTAAAAGTGGGCATATGGGGCCAGGGATGTAGCTCAGTGGCACTGTGCCTTCCACACAAGCACAAGATTCTGAGTTTGATACCCTGTTCTGGGGTGGGGGTGGGGGGGTGGATATATAAAACTTCACGAACAAAAGCATCAACATTAAGTTTATTTAGATGAGCAGTGATCTTTGTTTCTCCACATTTTTCTGCAGCTCACTGTTGAATTACGATCTCAACTCCAAATTACAAAAGCAACAGTGAAGAGAATGAGCTCTGTACTCACGACTTTGCCTGTTACAGATTTGCTTTTGTAAAGTGCTTTTCGAACTTTCTGCTCATCAACTGACATGGGTTACAGGGCATGTGTTTATCCACCATGGTGACTTGGGGACGGCTCATTGAGCAGAGCTGTGAGTGTGGGTTTTGGACCAGGGTTAGAATCCTGGTGCTGTGATTTAAGGCAAGTTAATTAACTCCTCTGAATCTCAGTTTCCTCATCTGTCAAGTAGGAAAATAAAAATATTCTCCTCGAAGGGATAATACACTGATGAGATAAAATCATGCATATAAGTGCACAGTGCGTTGCCTGACTCTAAGTACTTGGTAAACTAGAAATGCTCTTCTCTGCAGAGTAATGCCAAGATTTTAAAATGTGAGTTTCTTTTAAAGTGAGAAGTTTGGGGAACAGTTCATTGAGATGAAGTTCTGGTCATGAACCATGCAAATACCACTCCAGTTACTGCATCTGCGAGTTGGGAATCTGCAATCAAGCCCTCAAAGAAACCATTGTCCAGCATCAGGTGAGGACCTGGAAGGAGGGGGTCTTGGCACTTAGCGGAGGACACCGCGAGGCAGGTGAGCACTAAGGGAAGCCACTGTTTCCTCAGGGAACTGGCATGTTTTAGGAAGGCTGATACCAAAGAGGCAGAGAACACCCTTCAACGACTCCCATCTTGCAGAGGGACTGTCCATACTCACAGCAGCTGCAGGGAAGGTAGATGGGAAAACATTCGGTCCTTGATTTCCGAAAATGTTCCATTTACGAGGCTCCTACAGGCAAGAGAGGGACGAAACGAGGCCTAGGTCTCTTTCAGGAAATATCAGACCGCTGGATATCGGCCTCCCCCATCCTGTACTCCAAGCTCTCCCTCCTGGGGTTGGGGGATGGGGTGCACACAGCTGCCCTGACTTCCCGGGGAGGAATGACAAGAGGCGAGTCAAGTTCCACTCACTGGATCTCTAGAAAAGCTGGTCGGGACACTAGAGACCTGTACCATCCATCTGGTTCCTTTCAGACATGAGCTCAGGCAGCTTAAATCAATCCCTCCTGCCTTCGTCTAACTACAGGAGGCCCCCCGGCTGCAAATGGATAATTACTTCACCTCTGCCCAAGATTCTGTTTGTGCAGACACAGAGTTAATGTTGGCCGACGAAACTCTGGGGTTGGATTAAGCATTCCCCTTGGGAGCACATCTCTGAAAGACACTCTGAGCACTTCTGATTAAATGCACCGTGAAAGCCTTGGGGGAAAACTCAGAGACACCTCAACTTGGCTGTGCAGTGGGAAGCAATGCCATCTGCCAGATAAAAGCAGTCAACTGAGGGCCAGAGGCTTGGCTGTGTTTCTGCCCCAGGCTCCCTACCCTTTCTGGCCACAGCAGGACCTGGAAACATTACTTCCATTTGCATGCTGATCAGTGAAGTAATTTCTGGTCTAAGGGATGTAATAAGGGGAATTCTAATTTCTGGAAACCTCTATACCACCTGTGTTGGCAATACTAAGAGGCAAACAGGCACTGTCCCCCTCCACCGGCCCCACCAGCCAGAGTCTCTTGACTTTCTATAAAGGCAAACAGGACCCCCTTCTCCTGGGTCCAGGCTCCTGCCTTGCCTGGGATGGAAGGCAGGGACTTGTCCTATGTGAGAAGGCGCAAGAAACGTTAGCGTCGGGACTCCCTCGCTACCACACAGTGGGCAGCCCATTGCCTCTGCCAGGAACAAGGGAGTCAGCCTGGCCCGGCTCATGTAGGGGTGGCCCGATGGCCGCTTCCACAGCTACTGGGCCACTAGCCATTTAGTCTGAGTGGCCCCGGGAGGCCAAGTTGAAAGCATCCCTCTGCGAGTGGATAAATGAGGCAAAGCCCTTTCTGATCAGTTACTCCAGGGCCGAAACAGCGGCGGACATCATGCCAGGTGGGGGAAGGAGAGAAGAATCCTTCTTGAACTCAGAGCTAGAAGTCAGGCTGACTTCATAAACGCCCTGAGCTGAGCACCCCACACTCCTCAAATCTCTGCCCAGCCCACTGCCCCCCCACTTCCAGGCCACGTGGGGCGACCCCTCCACTTCCAGAGGCTGCACGCCTCAGCCCAGGATTTTACCAGCCTGCAGTGTGGAGAGGTCCGGAGGCGGTCACGGTGCCAACCTCGCCTCACTGACAGGGCAGCGAGGCCTCACCGTTTGCGGTTGCAATCAACCCGGTCCTGTTCAGCTGCTCCTGCACATGCCCACACAGTCACCCACCCAACAAACACACAGAGCCTCTCAAACTTTAACGCTCTCAGGAGTCACCCAGCGACACCAAGTGCAGGCCCTCGGCGCCCAGAGTCCCTGCCTCACAGTGGGCCCCGATTCTGTATTGGCACCAACGTGGGTCTGATGCAGGTGGCCCGTGGGCCACACTTTGAGAAATACCGTCACCAGGACCGGGGTCCATCTGTCCTCCCCGGGATCCCTCTATCCTCCCTGGGGGCCAGGCTCCCAGTGTCCCGTAGCGCGCCCCCACGCCAACGCAAAGCGAGGGACCAGGATGTGGTCTGAGGCGCTGCCCCGAAGCTGGAGGCAACTCCCAGGCGGCGGGCAGACGGGCGGGCGTAGGG